ACACACACACACACACACACACACACACACACACACGCAAAACTGTAAGTGCAGCAAATTAGTAATAAGCTCATAAAATACTTGTTTTTCTTTTTTGTTTGTTTGTTTTTTGTTGCAGCCGGAGAACTTGTTGTATTTTAATCCTCAAGATGAATCCAAAATCATGATCAGTGACTTCGGTCTGTCCAAGATGGAGGGCAGCGGTGATGTCATGTCTACGGCCTGCGGCACGCCGGGATACGTGGGTGAGCCAATCAGATTTCTCCCTTCTATAAGGTTATTCATTAAYATTGCCATCAACCATTTCGTCACTGATGAGCTTTGTCTTGTTTGCACATGCTGACCCTGCAGGACCACATTACTGCARGATATTACTTTAAATGAACTCTTACTTTGTCTCCTTCATCCATCCATATCCTCCAGTTTCACCTCTGACCCCCACGTCCCCCAGACTCCTGCAGAGGTCTGTCAAACCGAGTCTTTTCCACTCCAGATGCATCGTGTCTGCATGTAAAAGTAGTAAAAAAAAGGAATGAAAATGAAAACCAGATTTGAATGACGAGTACAAGAGCCCCCCCCTCTGGTTTCTGTCCACCGTTTTCCATATTTGAGCAAAACTTTCATTCACAATTGACTTTCTCGGKCTCGTTCAGCAGAGAGACACACATATCTCCACAATGAGTCAGAATAAACAGACTGTGATTCAGCTCAATTGAAACATTTCTCCACATATGACACATATATGTTGTGATCTAAGGCCTTGTGTGTGTACAGGCGAGCACACCAGGTTTRTTTTGGGGCAGCTGTGTTTGTGTGTCAGGTGAGGTCTCTGTGATCAGGATTCTGGTTCCATCTGTGCTAGGGGTCCTTTTTTTTATTAGCTCAGACCAGGACAGACCCTCCACCTCACAAACATCAACAGTCGTACGACGTTGGGACTCGTGAGAATCTGTAGCTCGTGCAGAAAACTTCCCACCATAAAACCAACCTGCCATGTGACTTTCATTTAAATAAACACGGGGTGTCTGCATATTTTCTCTGCTTTCAGGCTCATTAAACTGCTGCTGTTTTGAGTAAATGAAAAATAAAAAGAAGCACAACAATCCACATTTACGTGTCGGCGAGTTTATGACCAGGTCCCAACAGTAACCAGTTTTGTCCTCCCTCAGCTCCGGAGGTTCTGGCCCAGAAGCCGTACAGCAAGGCCGTGGACTGCTGGTCCATCGGAGTGATCGCCTACATCCTGTAAGTAGCGGCTCCGCCTCGTCCTGCGTGACACGACACCGTGTGAGATTCACAGTTTACCACAGTTCCTCAGCACCAGTCATATAAGCTGCATTAACACTGAATAAACATCCTCCTGCTGGGAAAGCTGCATCTACATCAAGTCTTCCTTTGTTTTTGATATAGATTGGATTATCGACAGTCRATAATATTTTTGTACATGTGTTCATGTATCTGATATAAACACAAAATGGCTTTAACTTAAACCGTCTTTTACAGACCTTTTTAAGAGTCAACTCCATGCTACTCATTGCATAAGATCTTTGCTTAAAACTGTTTGTCTGTTAGCAAAATATCTCCACAACCATAGCTCAAGTTTTAAAGAAAATTTTCTGGAAATATTCAATAGATGTACCGCTATGAAAGTTTTAACTTCTGGAGCCAGTCCAARTCAACAAAGTCATTACAGGCACCTATCTTAGAAAACACAAAATGGGTCTAAATCAGTCAATTTTTACAGATTTTGCTCTAAGATTTATTGTGATAGTAGCTGAGAGTCATCCCCAACACAAACTCCAAGTGCAACTCTTCACACAAGATCTTTGATTAAAAGTTAAGCATTAAACATTGATGCCAGCCTTGTTTGTCTGTTAGCAAAATATCTCACGAACCMCTWGTCAAATTTAAATGAAACTTTTAAGGGGTAATCACTACATATAGATCTACACTTTTTTAAATTTTGGATTCGATCTGATTGAATTTGTCCACCACAGCCAATCAAACCTAAAAAACACAAAAACCTTGATAACTCAGTCAGTTTTACAGAAATTWTGCAGAAATTGGACTTGGTAGTAGCTGAGAGTGATTCACAACACATTCTTTTGTGCAGAACMTTATTCTCAAGGTTGGATCAAAACAAAGCTTAGGTTTTTTTWAAGTCAATATTGTTTCACGGAAAATCCTGTTTGACTGAGTCCTTCAGTGAACAATATTAACAGATGTTTAGGTACAAAATAAATATTTGTATTTTGTAAATGGACTGGTTTACATGAGTACATTTGTCTGCTATTAGCTGGACAACACAGTCTGGTGTCTCACCAGGTCCACATTTGGTGAAACTAGAACGATAAGCAGCTCTTCGTGACTTATTTTCATGGTATAAATGAGTTTTATCTGTTGGACAGTATTGATTTCAGAAACCCCAAAAACTTGAATTTAAAGGACTTTGAGGACTCATCAGAGTCGTTTGAAGAACAGCTTTTGTTACAGGTTAAACATACAAACAGAATAGCCTCAMTGTGTGAATTCTTATCAAACAYTCTCATTATTCAGATYYTTTCATTTTCTTCCGTAACATTTTTCGGCATGTATGTCTTTCTTCATTTTTGTGCTATTTCAACAATTTATATCAAAACGTTCAGCTCCTTCAGGACATCCCAGCTATGACCTTTGGTACTCCAACAATTTATACTTTCGGAGATATTTAGCATTTTTGGTCATTTTTTCCTCATTGGAAATGAATGAAACTGTCTTCAACCTCCTTAAAACTCTTCAAAATGTTCATAAATCTTTACTGTACTTTTTAAATTTTGTTCTAGTTCTGCTTTTTTTCCCTTCTTACCAATTTCAGCTTCTTTCTGCTTCTATTTAGCTTATTATAGCCTTTTTTCTGCTTTTTCAGCTATTATTCAGATCTTTTCTGCTATTCTTCTGCTGATTTTTATTTTCTTGTGTTCCTTTCTGCCTTCTTCAGATTTTTCTGCCACTGTCAGCTGGATTTCTGCTCCTTTGTAATTTTTATGTGCAACTTTTTGTGTTTTTCTGCTGCCTCTTGAAGCTTGACTTTTGTTCTTCAGCAAATTTCAGCAACCGTTCAGCTTTTTTTAGGTTCCAACACAACTGTTAACATTCAGCAAGCATATATAGTTCAGCGTTTAAACATATTTTAGCTTCTCCAGCAGCTTTCAGCTAAGTCATTCAGCAATAGGGCGGCCACAAACAATTATTTTAATAATCGATTAATCACCGATTATTTATTCGATTAGTCGACTAATCG